CGGCGGGGGAGGCAGGGGAGCGGTTCTGCGCCACCGAGCAGGAAGCCTGTCCATCCTGGCCTGGAGGCTGTTAAAAAATGCAATCCTGTGACTCGTTAAACCCCATAGCCCTGCCCTGCCTGGATACAGAGGCGCTGATCATCTCGCCTGATCGGCTCCAACGGGCTAAACTGCCTCTTACATAACAGGACAGCCTGGCTCTACACAATTAAAATACTAGATTGTAGTCTCTTCCCGACTCTGCATCCCCGCACTACCCTCCCGGCCCCTCTCAGTGCGCCTGCGTGCAGAGCGCGCACCGGCCTGGCGTGCAGGATTCGCGCGCGCGCACGAGCACGCGCATGGCATATACTCACATACATGCACACGCTCTACACTTTCCACACACACACACACACACACACACTTTAGTGTCAACACACACGGGGGAGGGAGGCGTCCTCCAAACCGTACTGACTGACCCTATAGACACTCCAGCTGCTCCACCGCAAAGCCTTGCATGCACCTCCCGCGCGTCCCCTCCAAAAGCAGCCCCACCCACTGTCCCTACCTATTTCCGAAAAGAGGTAAAGAGTGAACTGGTTGGCTGCTTGTTAACTGTAGCCCAGCCGCCCAGGCGAGAATGGAAACAAATAAATAAGAAACAACAAACCCTCTCAGTCCCAGGCGTCATGATGGCGCCGGCCACAACTTGGAGGACTTGAAAGTTACGGAGCCTCCAAAGGTGAAACGCCCGGGAGAGGGAAAGCCAAGCGCTCCTCTGCGCTCTCCTCCTCCGCCCGACACGGAGACTTTTCTAGCAAAAGCAGGGCATATGCCAGGAAGGGAAGCCTTCTGTCTAGGAGGCATCTCTCTTTCCCCCGCAGTCTGCGTAATTGTGATATACCTCCTCCTGATAGATATTTTCATTTTCTTCCTTTTTTTTCCCCTCCATTCATTTCGCCCCCCTCCCTGTTGCATCCCCCAATCCCCGGGCGGGGTTGCTAAGGAAACGGCCGCTTGGCA